TTCATAATTATGAATAAGAGAATGACAGATCAGACTCATATTTTAGAAAGTGCATTCTAGAAACAAAGCCAAGCCAAGCCTGAACTGATTTGAAAGCAATGAAGACCAGGAAAACCAGTTAGACGGAAGATATGATGAAGTCTTATATTTGGCAAGAACAAAAGAGATGGATACATTTCAGACATATTTAAAATGTAAAATTTACAGAATTAGAGGAATGAAGGCATTTAATAGAAACAAAGATACGCTACTTCACTGATACTTTCCTATGAGTTCACCTTCAAGGTAACTAATACTTTTATGGACATTATTCTGTTGGAGGCACTACAAAGGAATTCTGGGGCCTTCCAGAGTGTCCTTACAACACCTCACAGCACACATGACCAAAGAGGCCTTCACTTTCCTAAAAACCTGATGATATCGGTGTCAATTATTCTTGGACATATCATGAAAACACAGTACTGATCTAACTGCAAATTTAGAAGACTGGGAAAAATAATCCCAGCACAATTCTGTAAAATATGGTACTTAAGAGAAGACAGAAACTACGACACATGCCACGTGTTGACAAGGTAAGAAGGGGAACATATTTCATGAGAGGAAAGCACACACTGCTATTGAGCCAATCCTGGCTCATGGCAGCCCTATAGGACCCAGGGGAACTGCTCCCTGGGATCTCTGAGACTGTCAAGCTTTATAGGAGCAGACAGCCTGTCGCCCATGGAGTAGCTGGTGGGTGCAAAGTGCTTACCTTTTGGTTAGCAGTACAACACACAGGGCTCCCTGAGAGGAAAGTATCAACCACCCCCGCCAAAAGCAGAACTGCAGGACAAGGTTGGTCATATTTGCGCCATTTTTTTTCAACCATGTAGGAGGTAAAATGCTCCTTTTCTACATTCTCTGAACCTTTGAGATAAATGCACACCAACCCTTTAGAGCGATACAGCTCATTTTCCCCATGTGCAGAAATACGATAGAGAAACACCAGAGTCCAAGTGAATGGGGAACAAGGATCAAACAATAGAAGCTGAGCCACAGATGGATGGGCAGACTGTCAGGCCATGCACAGTTCTGAGAACACTGGGCTCAAAAGATTCAGAGCAGTGTACAAGGATCCAACATTGCTTTCAAATCACCAAGCACATTCCAGATAAAAAAAACCCAACAACGCTCAAGAGAAACATAGCTGTCTCTGGCCCAGAGGGCCCAAGAGGACCTTCTCAAGTGAGCAGTCCTGAAAGGGTCCACAGCCACAGCATGTGCTACAGGACGCTCCACAGCCGGCACTTTGAGGACTTCTCCTCAGGGAGAATAAGGGCATTGCACCAGTGGCCTATTTCTCGAATCAGTGTGAGGAGGTACCTGTGATCACTTCCCTCTGACAGACCAGGACTGAGGGGGTGGGAGATGGAAGCCAGTGTGCTCAGAAAATGGAGGAGTGGATAACTGGGCTGATCTTTTGGAACAAAAGCTTGTTTCCTAAATAATATTGCAGAACAAAATAAATAAGCCAGGCCTCTGTGAAAGTGACTGGCACCTCAAAGAGGACCCAAAGGAAAGAGTTCATGGGGGTGGACAACTGGAAAATAAGAGAGGATCCTAAGTGGACCCTGAAATAAAAGCTTATCCATTCAATAGCACATCCCCATCAGCAATTCCTAAGCTCAGCTTCCCTGGCTTCCTGGAAGCTGGAAGAAACACCACGACAGGTGTTAGCCCATCAATGTAATCATTTTTAGATTACTGAATTAACAGGAGAAAATACACACAAGAGAACTCTAAGCAAGACGCAGTCCTGGGGTCTTTAGAGGAACAAATAAAGGCAAACTCAATCTCGGTTTGTAATTGTATTATAAAATCACGGTGGGCAGTAGCAGTGTGTTTAAGCTACCCAAGGTGTTTAAACATTTATAAGATACAATGGCCTGGAATTGCTGGAAGACTATCAAAAAAAGAAATGGAGAAGAGTAACAGTATCCATTAATTAAGTCATGAAAAAGAATGTATCTTTTTATACTTGTACTTATGACTATTATTTTCATGAATAATTTAAGGACAATACATTATACACAATGATATAAATATCTCCACAGGAGAAAACTGATGAGCTGATAAGCTGGTTGGTGAGCACCAGTGAAAATATAAAAGCAAAGCCAAACAGAATTCACTGTTAGAGAAAGAAAACAGCAATGCAGCAAATACAGATGAGTTTCAATGAGAACACATTACTAGGGAACAAGGACATATTAACAGAAGTTGGCCTAACTTTAATTTAAAAAAAAAAAATTCTTGAAACATCCAAAAAGATCAAACTATAGGGACCTTGTGCACATGACAGGAGCTTTGTATGCTTGTAGAAGAGCTTAAACTAGGGAATCTGCATTTAAGTATTACAAATCAAACAAATGATACCGAGAACAGATCTATCTGCAAAGAGCCCCTAACTGCTCAGTTCTGCAATACTGGCAGCAACTTAGACAGCTGTGAGAGACTCCAAGAGACAGTGGGTAAAAATGGGCCACAGTGATGATGGATTTAGGGAGTTACACCCATGTGACAAGAAGGACGTGGGAGGAGGCACAGAAACATTGAGCAAAGCAACCAACTCAGAGAAAATGTTGATAAGAGAAGCCCACCTGGAATAAACACAGTGGTGGAAGCATGCTAAAAATAAACCAGATACATTAAATTGCCTGAAGGGAAAAGAAGAGGATATTGCAGTCACACCTGTAAGAAGCTGCTGTCTGCAGGGTCGGCTGTAGGTCACTCGCCATGAGAGGGGAAGTACCTTGGTAGGGGAAACCCTCAGGGTGACAGTAGCTCTGAGCTGCTTCTCCCAGTGCATGGGAGCACGGGATACTGCCTTACCTTCATCTAAACAAACTGCTTCAAAAGCAAAACCGTAAATAGGATTCTGCTGATCTCAACATACTCACTTCTCTTTAATTTTCTAAGACAACAGCAGAAATACTTCTAGATAGAAGCATTATCTTCATAACGAACTAAAAAATCTTCCATGTAAAATCCTTACAGAGGGTGGTAGGAAGAGAATGAAAAAATGCAAGAAAGGTGGAAAGGAGCAATGGACTGATTCTTTCTTCTTCTTCTTGTCCATTTCCCCCACAAGCCCTGGAGCTCCAAAGCACATCTGCTCCAAGTCAGAGTTTATTAACAGCAGGTCCCCCAGTGGGAAAAGCCATCAGGTTCCTCCAGCAAAGACTCAGTCATGATAGAATTATAAAATCTAAAATCACATGAAAGGGGTCTCTTTACCATTAAAAAGAAAAAGAAAAAAAGACATGAAATCCTCAAGTTTCAGATTTTTTTAAATAGCTATGAATTGTCTAGGGACCATATAAGTACTCTTCAGTTCACCATGCTTTTGTTTAACATAGATGTTGAGCCAAGTACAGTACATTGTTGTTGTGAAGTGCAGTCGAGTCAGTTCCAACCCATAGTGGCCAAGTATAGGGTTTCCGAGGAGTGGCTAGCCATCTTGAACTGTGGACATTGCAGATCGAACTGACTTTGCAGTCCAGAGCATAAACCCACAGTGCCACACCAGTATATACTATATATCAAACATACCAAATGCTACAAACAAAGAACCCTGGTAGCATAGTGGTTACATGTTGGGCTGCTAACTGCAAGGTCAGCAGTTCAAATCTACCAGTCGCCTCATGGGAAAATGGCGAGGCTTTCTGCTCCCATAAAGATTTTCTGCCTCGGAAACCTATACAGGGTTGCTATGAGTCGAACCGACTTGATGGCACACCACTACCATCAGTGCTGCCAATGGACCCCTGATGTGGCTCAGTAGGATAAGCAGTGGACTGTGAATCACAAAGTCGCCGGTTCAAACCCATTGCCTGGCTCCTTGGAAACCCTATACAGGGTCGCTTTGAGTCAAAACTAACTTGACAGCACTTAACAGCAATGACAATGCTGCAAACATTTTCAAAACATCCAAGGATATGTCATCACATTTTAGAATCATTCTTCTTTATGAAAAATTCAAAAACTTTCCAATTCAGAGACAAAAACAGATTATTGCTTGATGTAATGAAGTACTGTGAGGCATTATAAATTGTCTACTACTTGCAGCGAATCTGCCTCAATGTCTCTTTCTCCCAAAGGATGGAAATTGGTATTGACTTTCAGCCCGGTCTCCCCAAGAGGTCACGCCTACAAATCAGTGCAGCTGCAACCTCCATAGCACTACTTTCCCAAACACCAACTGGTGTGAGGTGGGAGTCAAACAGGGAGGATAGACGTAAACGAAGGATCCCACTACCTGTTTCTCTCATCTTTGAAGCCAACAGAATATTTTAAAGCATCTCTGCAAAGTGTTAGACACAGCCTGCAGTTATAGCTGTATCTTTTAAAATAAAATATTACAATGTGTACTATCTTCTCTGAAGGTAAATAGAAACAAGTGTGCTTGAGGACTAACCTTAAGATTGGCAGTTCTAATCCACCCAGCACCACTGAAGAAGAAAGCCCTGGTGATCTGCTTCCGTAAAGTCTACAGCCAAGAAAACCCAGTGGAGCAGTTCTACGCTGTAACACACAGGGCTGTCAGTTTCTACTTGACAGCAAAAGGTGTGGGTTTGCCTTGTTTTAATGTCTTCTCTTGCGTGACTATTTCTAGAAGGCACACTGGTCTGCCTGCACAAATCAATTTATTACTGAGGGTATTGGGATTAGATTTACAGAATCTTAGAACTAAGAGAAACTGATTATTTAAATAACCCCCAAATCTAGAGGGATCAATTCATTGATTAATAAAATTTCAAGAACATAATCTAGGTCCATTAACTTTTCACAATCCCATTCTGCCCCATTAACTTCAGTTATCAACAGTGATTCTTGATCTTCCTTTTGTTTAAATATCAGCTTTGGTAAATTTGTTAACCAATTCTCAGTGCTCAAATCTAGATTCCTGGAAGGCTAGAGGTATTCTACTTTAATGTCAGACCATGGACTTTTAGCATATTTACCTCTCATGGGTGATTTCATGGCAGCTTCTACCATCCCCACCAGAAGCTGGAGACTCTTGGGGTCCTGAGCCAGCCCAGATGCAAAGGCTGCCAGGGCATCGGCATGGCGTCCGAGGTACTGCAGGGCAACACCCTGTCGGAAGTATGCCTAGAAACAAGGGAAAGAGAAGGCATGTTTTACTTATTGTGCTGGGCTCCAACAAGGCTGGCGATTGATTCTTTATTAGAACAACAGGCCAGGAGAGCTGAGACTAAAAATGATGTTGGCTGATAAACCTAGCAAACAGGTGGTATTCAAATGTGATTTTTTCTAATATTATAAAATGGAAGCACAGTTCTTCTTCTAGCTAACTTATATTTTAAATGTCTATTGTTTTCATTGGCTACCCAAAATGGGGGGTGGGGGGCTACAAAGGCAAGAAGTGACTGGCTTACAAGCTTTCAAGAGGGAACCTAGACCCAGAGGGCCTGGAGGAAGGTAGAATCTCCAGTGAGTAGTATTCAATCTGACTAGGCGGGGCTGATGCAACGAAATGCAGACGGGTCTCTTGTGATACAATAGTGAATAATTGTTATCAGGACTGACTATGAGGGTTGAAAATGTAAGGGTGGACATTTTATAGCAAGGAGGGGAGTGAATGACTTTTCAGTCTAGGAGCGGAGGTCCCTAGGACCCATCAAGGGAGAAGAGCAGAGAGCTGGACCCTACCCAGAGAAGCAGTGATGCCTGAAATGGAGCCAGAGATGATGATGTGGAGCGATGGAGCAGCTGGAGACTCTAGACCCAGAGAGGGAGAGTGACTGTGTGCTGAAGACCTGGGGGGCACGGGGGAAGGATTGCATGGAGGGGATTGTAATCATGGCAATGAGACGATATACTATAAAATGAACGTAAAACTAATGTTCTCCCATGTAAACTATCACATAATTCACAATAAAACATTTAAGAAAAAAAAATCAACAATCTATTAAGTAAAAAAAAAAAAAAAGTATTGTTTTCACTTAGTAATATTACTGCATTCTTTGCCATTTATTCCCACATTGTTTTTATTGTTTTTCAATGATCTTGAAAAGATCTCTTATCCTACCTTTACAAGCATAAGCTTCTCAAGGATGAGGGTTTCAAGATTTCTTATAACTCACCATGTATCTAGATTCATGAGCAATATTTGATTTTATATTTCACTCATTATCAATTAAACTGTGTCCCCAAAAACTATGTGCCAACTTGGCTCAGCCGTGTTTCTCAGTATTCCTCCATTTTGTGATCTGACGTAATTATAATATGTGTTAGAAATCCTCATATCTATGATGTTCAGGAGGCAGGATTGTTGTTGTTGTTAAGTACCATAGAGTCGGTTCCGACTCTTAGTGACCCTGCACAGGGTATCCGAGGCTGCAAATCTTTACAGGAGCAGAAAGCCTCATCTTTCTCCCATGGAACACCTGGTAGTTTCGAACAGCCGACCCTTGAGATTAGCAGCCCAATTTGTAATGGTTGTTACGTATTAATGAGACAGGATATAATTACAGGACTAATCCTGAGGTCCATCTCTGTTGAGATATAAAGAGATTAAACAAGTGAGAAGAGCCAGGAGTAGAGTGCATCCGTTGGATCCAGGGTCCCTGCTTTGTGAACATCATAGATCCTGGGGAAGACTGATGCTGAGATAAAACACATCTCCAAGGGACATCAGGCCATCACATAGGGAAAAAAACAAGGCCCTTTCCCCAGAGTTGACAAACAGAGAAAGCCTTTCCTAGAGTTGCACCCTGACTTCAGACATCAAGACTTCTAAACTGTGAGAGAATATATTTCTGTTCATTAAAGCCATCCACTTGTGGTATTTCTGATACTTATTTCTGTACTATAGAACTAAGGTGGTGGTGGTTGTGTGCCATCGAGTAAATTCCAACTCAGAGTGACTGTGTATAGGCTTCTGAGACTATAAATCTTTATGGGAGCAGAAAGCCTCATCCTTCTCCCATGGAGAGACTGGTAGATTACAGCTGCTGACCTTGCAGTTAGCAGCACAGCTCATAATCCACTACACTTCCAGGGCTCCTTAGAGAACTAAGATACTGCTTACATAATTCCAAGGGAAAAATCAATTTGTGATTATTAAGGTAACTTTAATCATGAATAACACGGCTACATTTAATTCTTTCAGACATTGTATTTAAAAGCAGTTATCTAAAATATGTGTGCTTTGCTTAAAAACAAAGTAAGATAGTTGTCCTTTTTGTTCTTGGATTAGTTTTAAAGTAGTATTATCATCTGTGATTATAGGAAAACATTCTTCCTCTGGCTATCTGTAGAAAAGTCCAGAGAACTAATAAAAATACTTAAATTTCATAATAGTTTTAAGAAAGTAGAGTTTGTTTTTAAGTACACAGAGTAAAGCCAAGTAAATGGACGAAGTAATGTTACCTAGATGGAATTTGTAACTGACCAAATGGTAATTTAGTAACAATTGATTATTTTTATTTAATTACTTATATGACAACATCTACTTCGAAAATACATGGCCTCCTATTTAACTGAAATACTCTTACAATACTACTTAAAATACAAACTTGACTTTTTCAGTCCAATATATTTTGAAGTAATCCCATGGGATCTCAGTGAACTCTTACAACTATTAGTAAATGAGTTCAATATAGCCTTTCCTATTATACACACATGTATACACAGAGAGTGCGTGAAAGAGCACCTTTCACTTTTACAAAACCTAATTACTTAGCTTATCTTATTTCCTTTTTATAACTACCCTTTGAGGTAATTTAAGATAGGCAATAGTATTCAGTGTTTCTATTAAGAAACAATCCATAAACAGACAGAGTACTCTGATTACTATGGGCTATTCAGGCTTCTTTTCGTTTAAACTACCAGCAGCTGTTAAAACTCAGACCCCAGGAAAGACCAAAACCTGTAAATGTACTTTCATTACTAATTCATAAGATCACTTCCTTTCACTGGACTCAGCCACTGTTTTAATCTTTAATGTGTTTACAGGCATTTTTCACTATACTTTTCATTTCCCATCTTAGGTGGTCTATATAAACCAAAAGGTAGCAACTAAAAATACTATATTGCAACTAAAAAGTAATAGAGTTGACCCAACATAAAAAATGCAAAAACTAGACTTAAAACAAGTTTCCTTACTGATTTATATATTTCTGTCAAATACTTATAAATTGCAATTTATCTTTTGTGGACTGAAACAAAAAAAAATAAAGTTGATAGTTATTGATTTCGGGTATGTATTATAAAAAACACAAAAATCTTACATTTGTCTCAAGGAGTTGTCGGGTTTTTTTTAAGTTTTTATTGTGAATTATGTGGGTTTACATGGGAGAACATCAGTTTTACATTCATCCTATCTTATTTCATTTCAAAGCAATGATTACAATCCCCTCCATGCATCATCAAATAACCAAAGGGTACACCCCACAGGCCTGCCCCCACTCTGGCCAAAAGCACATAGCTCATCTCCCACCCTGAGTCCAATGTCCCCAGCCACTCCATCTGTCATGTCATCGTCTCTGTCTCCATTTCTGGCATCACTGCTTTTCTGGGTAGGGTCCCGCACTCCTCTCTTCTCACTTGATGGTCCCAGAGACCTCAAGTGTCTATTTTACAATGGTTGTTGTTGTTGTCAGGTGCCATCGAGTCGGAACCGACTCATAGCGACTCCATGCACAGCAGAACGAAACAATGTTCGATCCTGGGCCAAC